CAATAGAAATAGCCTATCATCACATTTTCAGAATTTTATACATTTTTTCATTTTTCAATCTCAAAAAAAATTAAATCTACTTTTTATATAAATTTCTCTGTCTAGACAAGCCAACGGTTGGGAAAGCTTCGTCTACTACAAACATTAGCTCGTGGGCTGGTAACAAAATAAATCTAGAATGTTATTGGTCCAGTTCTCTTCCCATACCACGGTGGACATGGTTTAAGCCCAATGGTGATCGGATCACTAATGTCCGTAGTATTTCCAGTGGAAGCCAGGTGACAGTGTTGACTGGAAACAATAATCATGACTATGGGATGTATAGATGTAAAGCAACGAATATTGCTGGGAGTGATCAGCACAACATATCGGTTACTCGACTCTGTAAGTTAACGGTATTAAATCTTTTATATCAGAAGCACACATACTTGAAAGAAAGTAGTCGGTTTCCAGAAGATTACATAATGAATGCTAAGGCCGACGTGTAGCATGGGAAACCAAATAATATGCCTATAACAGCGTTTCAGTTACATGGGCTTCACTGAATATGCCACAGGCCCGTAGGCTAGGGGATTCGGTGTTTCTCTTTTTTATTGTTCTATATTTTGACATTATTTTGTTATGAACTGTTTGTGAGATAACTAGTATTTTGTTGTATCCCCCCCCCCCCCCCCCATTTGTAAGGCAGCCTACGGGGGTTGTGACATTATGTATAACATTGTTTGTGCAAATATTGCTTGGATGTCTGATTACTTAAAGTCCCCTTCGGTGTAAGATTCTTTTGTATAACCTTTTTGCAACCTGATAACGTTCACTTTGAATTAGCTCTAAATATGTTCTGAATGAGTCTCGTCTTTACCTGACTCTTCAAAAAATATTTATAGGTTAATAAAAAAAAAACAATTTGCAGTTACGTAATCTTAGTCTGATTAACGTCTTGTGTACGTTTCGTGCAGTTCCTCCTGTTCGACCACCACTTATTGATGTCGCATCTATCAGGTCATCATCAGTTACAATTATCTGGGCAAGACCAGCAGACAATGGTGGAAGTCCAGTCACTGGATACAAGGTGCTCATTGATTCAAGAACATTTTATATAAATTCATCAAAAATACTGGTCTATCAAGAATTCACAGGCCTTCAGGAACACACGGAGTACAACGTCACAGTGCTGGCTAGAAATATTGCAGGATTTGGTGATGCCTCTTTTAAAGTGTTCAACACAACTACAGCTAAACAAGGTGCATTAATCTTTCACGAAAATACGTAATACATTCTGATAACCCAAAATGTTAGTTATAAGATGGTTAGCATATGTACAAATTATATATTAGAATATTGTATATATACTTAGTTATTAAATGGTTAATGGTATTTAACCGAAAACTAATATAAAACACTCGTATTTTCACACCACTCGAAAAAAATTCAAATCTTCGCGCAACCGTGTAATATCCTCTAAATATGATTTTAAATTTTTACAGAACCGAAACGCGAGTCACGTCATGCTTCAACACAAGACAATTGTAAGATTCCCATCCAAATATCTTATATCTGGGAGAAAGTATATTTTACTAACAAAACATTGGTCAATTGGTTCAGTTAATGCAAGTTTTTTTATTAGGTTAATTTTTACTTTTTATCCTTATATTATATACTCTAGGCAATACTAAAGTTGGTGTGTTGGCTGCGTTCTTGGCTATTTCTTTGCTATCCATTGTTATACTTTTGGCTTTCATGATATTGAAACATAGGAGGACAAACTCACAAAACTCAAATCAACAAGAGCCGTAAGTACACAAATTTGAAATGGAAGGTTTAGAAAACAAATAATTGTCATTATAGAATGCTGGCGATATCACGAGGCTTTAGAATTTGTACTTCAAGAGTAAAAAGTCATTTTGTCCTCTTGTTTTCAGGAAAAAAGACGCAGTGTATGAGGTAAGTAATATCCTTGATTTATTTGTTTTTAGAGATATTAAACCTTGCTAAATAAAAAACAAACAAATACCAATGAAAATGGACAAGTCCGTAGAGCGTGCTGGAATGACTCCGCGTTGATTGGCCGCGTCTATTATGAGGACCCCCACCCAGTCCTCTGATTGTCTCTTTCAAGATGAGAAATATAAAAAAATATTCTTAGAACTAGAATTTTGAATATTCTTGATATCTTTTTAGTCTAACCAAATACACACAAAATAATTGCACAGAATTCAGATGCCATTGGAATGGTCCACTTGACATCATCATCAAGTCCTTCATTCAAAACCAACCAAAAGTCCCATAAAACGGCATTGCCTACCGAAGCTAGGAACCCAAATCAAGAACATTATCAACAGCTAAATCCAAGCACACTTCAAAGTTCGACAGCCACAGTACCAACTTATGAACCACTACGTAAAAACGACGTTACCATTGCTGAATGCAAAGGGCATCACACGCACCCAACGTTGCAAAGTCGCACGCGCGGTTACAAGAACCCTTAAACGTACTCTAACGTATCCATCGCGTGATTTAGATATTAAATAATTCTCGATCTGATTGGCATATATTTTCCAAAATAATCTGCAGAAATGTGAATCAAATATATATTTTTTTTTCAAAAATACTTAGCACAGTTTTAAGAGCTCAGCAAAAGTATTTTGATACTTTCTTAAAACTAGTTTTGACGGGATTGGGCGGATTGACAAAGAAAGAGTCCACAGTCCAATCGAAGTTAAACTGTTAAGGCTGATTTTGATTTTATGTACTTATTTGCAAGACTTCAAACTGAGACTATCGCGTCCGATCAAAACAAACATGACAACGAATGGATGTTTCTATACTCATTGAATGCTCGCATATTTCATGTTGTATGTACATCTTCGCCGAAGAGGAGGGTTCTAAAAGCCAAGCAGAGTGAGCCGTTTTGTGAAAGTGTTGAAATAAATCCCAATGAACAGCACTATGCAATAAATTTCATTCAAATATCATTACTATTTTATCCATTTACTACCATCTGGCATGCATGAAAATAGAATGGTTTTGTCTCTTTCTTTTGTTTAATATCTCTCAATGTTATTTTGTGTGACGCCTCTGACTAGTTTTCAAGCTCTTTGCAAAATTGATTTATCTTAATGTTATTGTATAATTATCAACCATAATCATTAAATAATGTATCTTTTTTCTGTTGAATTATCTATCTAACGGATAGCGCAGATTTAATTATTTCATCGTAGACATGATGCTAACTACTTCAGATCTCAGTTTAATTTTTTGCTCAAAATCGAAATACTCGTTTTGCCTAGAATGCTTTCGAAACTGAAAAAGGAAAAAAAGCGTGACGTTTTAGAAATACATGATCAGTTTTATTTGTAAATATGTAGAAAACAATCATACAAGCTAAATGCAATCGAAAGCGGGTTAATGAGCTCATTACCATGCTTCAGTTTAAGACGTATTCTTGTACATCTTCTGATCTAATAAGTTAATAAGTTGTTTGCTTGTTTTTTGTTTTTGTTTTGTTTTTTTGTTCTTTATTTTCTTTATTTGATTAACCAAGCTTTGATGAGCCGAGTGTATAATGAGCTGGCACCTTATTTATTGATTTTGACTGCTTTATACGTTGACCGTAAGAAAAAAAAATACTCAAATACGAACTTTTAATAATTTGCTTACTGATTTTGTCACACCAAAAAGAAAAGAGCGTGACTCATTAGCAATGCAGGATCAGTCCCATCCGTGATTACGTGAATATCATCACACAAGGTCAGTCAACATGCTAATCATAATACCATATAGTCAGTTTAAGACTGCTAATAGCGCTCGTCGGTTCATCAGAATTATGGACCTTCTTGCCGTACGTTTTCCTTAAACTCTCTGGTTTATTTAACGTCGCAGTCAATGACTGTATCTATCATATGATGTATTCTGGATTGTGTGCTTCTTCTTATACATGTGTTATTCTCATGATGTTATTTCGAGATTCAGGTAGGTTCTAAAATCAGTGCAATTAATAGTTCGGCAAATTTTGTATGACGAGTATTTACCGTCGAATATTTTATAGAAATATATATGAACATATACGAAATTTGAGCATTGATCACCTTGCTATTTAATTTATACCAAAAAAGGTAACGGAATGACTTGATCTTGATATATTCGTGATGTTATCGTTTATTAATTCCCAAGCTGTCTGTGTTCATATGAAATTTGGATTTTTAACGAAACTTATTATATGGATATAATAATAAAATTCGCTGTCACCCACTGTAAAAAAGTATTATTTTCTTTGTAGACATGCCTATAACTTCTAACCGACATACTGCGACTGAATATATGAAATCTTGGAGTTAATTAGAGGACTTGTTTCCGGGTCAGCTGATCAATAATAGCTGCCAATTAAATACATACATATAACAGAAGCTCTTAAGGTCGTGCGTTGACGATGTTTATAATTTTTCTACCACTTGTGCAATGTTTATGTAGTAATAAAAAATTTAAGGACAATACTTTCATAACAATTAATTTTCTTCTTTTCTATCATAGATGCAGCAGCTCGGTTTACCAAACATCCTGCAGACACGCTGTATGTAGTGAAAGGTCAAACTGCTAGATTTACATGGGACTACCACGTCGATAATATCAACACAGAGTTTGATGCTCGATCCCCAAGATGGTATTTCCATAACAACACGAGTTGGTTGGTTGGATATGGCGACGCATTTGATGGACGTAAATTCAAGATCGATACAAACACTTGTCCAGCTCGATTACGAATACCTACAGTACGAGTGAGTGTGGAGGGTAAAGCTACTTTGGTCATCACTGATGTTACTATGGCTGATTCTGGTACATATGGATGCAGACTGTTTTTATCCAGTGGTCCTCTCAGTTCGATGCCAACAAGCAAATCCCAACTGATTGTTACAGGTACATGATGTCACAAATATTGTTATTTTTTTTCAACCAGAAAGGGTACTGCAGAGTGTCGCAGAGGCGTAAAGAAGACTGAGGTTCTCGAGATCTATCAATCCATTGATACGTTTTTGTTTCAATTCTTTTTGGCAATTTTTCAATCCTGGCCACTTTCATTTGCTAAAAACTATTCAATGTTCGTGACGACGAATCATAGAGTTTGATATCTGTAATAAATATAGTTCATTTCATGGAAAGTTTGACGTACGGGATTTTATTCACGAGTTGTTTGCATCATACAACGAACAAGCGAGGAACGAGCGAGTGAGTTTATGATGCAAACAACTCGTGAATAAAATCCCGTACGTCAAACTTTCCATGCTATAAGCTGTTTATAATACATATATATATATATATAACTAGACGATCAGCGATCGTTTACATGGGCTTCCTGTGGTATATTACAATCAGTAAATGATATTGAACCCTAATGAAATTAATATTCCTAAGACAACAGCAAAAAAGATTTCCTTTAATGAAAAATAATCAAACAAGCAATGTACTTAGAAGAATTTAATGATATTGTGAAAGAAGTAATTTATGTTTGACGAGCCGTTACTTTAAGAGTCGCATCCTTGGCTGTATTAAACACAGATCGATAGTCTTTCATGTTCTTCGCTTAAAATACTTCCAATCCTCTGTTTTTCCTCAGTATAAATCTGTTGACATGTCTTAGATAAGTCCTTGGTGATTGTAGAGCCGGTACTAGTATAAGTTTGATATGTTTGATATATAATTCACGATCAGCAGATAGATCATCACGATAAATTCGCCGTATCTCTCTAAATGCCCTTTTGAGAAACGCTCGAATTTTTTTAGTGTGGCTAAGCCGCGAATGGTGTGTGGATTTGTAAAAGAATCTAGCGTATTTGTAGAAGCTAGATGACCTAGATCCAACATGTTCGATCTTAAAACTTTGCCGGCTATACAAAGGTCCGAAGAAGCACGAGGCGACCTTTGAATCGTTGCTTAGAAACATGAATGACAGTAAGACAATAGCTGTCAAAAATGAAAAGGTCCCGGATATAATTTGAAGCATACCACAGACGAAACGTCGGTAATTTAAGACATGGTCTTCCTTTGGAAGCCCATGTAACGAGACTTTCATTCGGCATACTTTTTAACAAGCTTTTTCAACTATTATGAGAAACAAACTGAATATGAGCTTATGTAGATAAAATTAAGATGCACAGATAATTGAACTTAATAAACTTGATAAAAAACAAGTAAATTAATAGTCGTACTTTCCATAAAAACTCCACCGAAGCTACAAGAACGTACAAGTTTTAGTGAGATTTATAGTAAGTAGAGTAAGAAATAAAAGTTCTTCGTCGAGAAACCTACTTCTCTTGGTTGGTATGCAATTTACCACTTCGTTTGAGCTGATTCAGCTTTCCTACAGCTACATCTCTTCTCTCACTGAAGTCCTGTCTTTCTATATTCCATGGCAGATTAGTTTAAATTTTGCAGAAAACGATCAAAACTTGGTATAAAACGACCTGCTGAACTCAGTGAACACGAACGAGACAAACTTCTATTCGTTTAAGTTTATAGTTTTGGCTGATGCTTTCCATGCTTTTATGTTCATTCTGGATGGCAAACAACTTATAATTCTCTTGAAGAAAAACATCTCTTCTTATTTTGCTTTAGTTTGTTTGCCTTCCTGTCCACTAACAAACTCTTCAAATGCGGAATTTTGATCAACAAACACAGTTCACCTTCAGCCATTTTGCCATCAACGCGCGGTATGTGAGAGAAGCCGTTTCAGTGTTGTGAACGTCGCTTTCTGATTGGTTGATTACAGTTTTTCTGTGTTATGATTGGTTATATTTTCACATGTCAAAAATGCTATACGCGCTTCTGATTGGACGTACCGCTATTTTTCACATGTTAAAATATAGCATACAGATTTTTATTTATGCCATTTACTCTATGAAAGTCTCGTTATATATATAATAAAATCCTTTATCATAATTTATTTATTTCTCATTTATTTTTAATTACTAGAAACTCCGAGGTTTACCTCAAAACCTAGTCCAAAAGTAATTTTCATCGAAAGCTCATTCTTCAGCCTCACTTGTGCGGCGGTGGGCACTCCAACACCAAATGTTACTTGGATACAAGTTATAACAGGGGTAACAATTAGCAAAGGTCAAGGGACTGCAGTACTACTGTTACCTAATATCAACAGGAGTCAGAGTGGCGAGTACGAGTGTCAGGCAGTCAACAATCCCAACGAGGCTCCTGTTATAGCTAAAACTATGATTACAGTTTATTGTAAGTAGATAGTTTTAACCTGAGGCTTCTGCATGAGGAACAGTGTAAACGTTCAAACACTAAAAATGCTAAAAAATGGATTATTTTGTCGCTGCTTCAAGCTTGTTCGTTGCCTTCGTATCTGCAAAACCTACAAAAGTCATCTGTTAAAGTAGCTTTACACTTTTGTCTAGACAAACCGATAGTTGATAAAGTCTTATCTACTACCAATATCAGTTCATGGGCTGATAACACAATAGACCTAAGATGTTATTGGTCCAGTTCTCTTCCCATACCATCTTGGACATGGTACAAGCCCAATGGTGATACTATTACTACTAATGTCCGTAGTATTTCCAATGGAAGCGAGGTGACAGTGTTGACTGGAAACAATAATCATGACTATGGGATGTACAGATGTGAAGCAACAAATATTGCCGGGAGTGATCACCACAACATATCAGTTACTCGTCTCTGTAAGTTGAAATTAAAAGGAATGTTGTTGAACATATAAGTCCAAAGGGTCATTGAAGTTTTTTAGAAAAACGTTGCATAGAGTAATCAAGCAAAATTAAAGATTGTGTAGTATTATCTTAGTATATTACTCTTGTGTTTCTTTAGTTCCTCCTGGTAGAATACAACTTATTGAAGTCGCATCTATCCGGTCATCATCAGTCACAATTATCTGGGCAAGACCAGCAGACAATGGTGGAAGTCCAGTCACTACATACAAGGTGCTCATTGATTCGAAAACATTTCACATAAATTCATCAAAACTATTGGCCTATCAGGAAATCACAGGCCTACAGGAACAAACCGAGTACAAAATTACAGTGCTGGCTGGAAATGTTGCAGGATATGGTGATGCCTCTATCAAAGTGTTCAACACAACTATACAAGGTACATTGATATTTGTAAAAAAACATGGAAAATCTATAACTATAACTATGTAACTCGGTAACATTCGAGTTTAGGAAAGCTTCGCTCAGCTATAATATGTGCATGATCAAGTAAGACTACCTCAAAAATGTTATTCAACCTTTGAATGTATTGATGGAAGTGTATAATTGTATAATTAATTACTGGTGACAATACTTAATTTCTTCAAATACAGTATCTACAAATTATATATGATTTGTTTTTTTCTATAGAACCGAAAAGAGAGTCATGTACTGCATCATCGCAGCACAGTTCAGGTAAGACTTTTAATTTTCATGTTCTAAACATCTAATCAATAAGAGCAAGTATTACAAAACACTTGTTCAGTTGGGTAATGGAGGCCAATTTTAAAAGATGCATTGAGAAGTAAACCTATTTTTAAAATAGCTGTCCTTTTATTATCTATTCTAGTCTCTGATACTAAAATTGGTATTCTTGCCGCATTCTTGGCTCTTTCTTTGATAACTATCGCCATACTTCTGGCTTTCATCGTCTGGAAACATAGGATGACAAACTCACAAAACACAAARCAAGAACAGTAAGTACTTAATTTAAATAAGGAAAAACATCAGGATTACMGTTCAAAAAAATCGGAAAWTCATTTTMATTTTTTTCTTGTGGTTTCTTTTTCAATCTTTTATTACTTTTTTATTTCTGTTATATAAATATATTTTTTGCCTTGATGTGATCGGTTATTTTTATATTTTCCAATTCTTCTCTTTTATTTCTTAATAGGACTTATTTATGTTTATCATATGATTATCTATGAAATACCTATATTTCTTCATTTCGTAAAATTGATATTTTCAGTAGTGAAAATAACATGTTGTGTTATTTTCACCAGTGAAAATAACACATTCGAGGTTTCTCTATATAGTGAAAATTGGAAAAAATATATTTTACGACATATTAATTTGCTTTCATGTGCAATTATATGATAAACAGAATATTACATGGTCGCTTGGAGATACGATTTTTATCTTCTCGTGTTGAAAATCTCTCATTCGTTCGCTACGCTCACTTGTGAGAGATCTTTTCAACACTCGAAGATAAAATCCGTATCTCCGCGCGCCCATGCAATATCCTCCATAAATCACGACTAGTGATGTTGATATCATATCCTCCTTTTAAGATTATTTGAATTTGGGAATATCTTGATAGATGCTTAAAATACAACTTTAATACTAACATATGTTATTCTTTCTTTTTTTAGAAAAAACGAACAAGTGTATGAAGTAAGTATTAAATATAACAGATTTGCATAAATAAAAAAATATACTATACAAAGGACTCAAATTGAGATTGATATTTCTACAAAAAGTAGGCTTACAAAATACACACAAAATATTTATACAGAATGCAGATGCCATTGGAATGGGTCCTTTAACTTCGCCATCACGTCATCCATTGCAAAGCAAAGAAAAACCAAAGCCTGATAAAACACCTGCAAA